TGCAGATTAAATCATACCCTCTCGAAAAACTCACGCAGGTCAAGTGTAATGAGGGAGCTGAGATTTCCTATTTCACTGGGAATCTGTGCTAAACTATTTTCATCTACAATCACATGGTGGAGGCAAAGGCAGTTGAGTGTCAAGGAAACATAACAAGAAATTGCAACAATGTAATGACAGTATGCAGATGAAATAATGCCTGTTCCGAAAACGCACTTAATTGCATGGATTCCAGGGAGGTGAGTCTTCCCATTTCACTGGGAAGCTCCGTAATGTCATTATCATCTGCAATAACATGGTGAAGGAAAAGGTAGTTGAGTGTAAAAGAACCAAAGATGTGATGACAAAAATGAAATGACAGCATGCAGATTAAATCATGCCCTCTCCAATAACTCACGCAGGTCAAGTGAAATGAGGGAGCTGAGATTACCTATTTCACTTGGAAGCTCTGTAATTTGATTGCTATCTAAATTCACATAGCGGAGTTGAATGCAGTTGAGTGTCAAGGAAACATGGCAAGAAACCGTTCGACAGCATGCAGATGAAATAATTCCCACTTTAATTACTCACTTAAATAAAGATTTTCAAGGGAGCTGAGACTTCCTATTTCACTGGGAAGCTCTGTAATCTGATTACTACCTGCATTATCATGGGGGAGGCAAAGGAAAGGCAGTTGAGTGTCAAGGAAACATAACAAGAAATTGCAACAATGTAATGACAGCATGCAGATGAAACATTGCCTGTTCCGAGAACGCACCTAAATTTAGCTCTTTCAATAACCTGAAAGCGTATATATCAGTTGGAATCTCTGTAAAACCATTTTCAGCTACAATCACATGGTGCAGGCGAAGGCAGTTGAGTGTAAATGAAACATAACAAGAAATTGCTACAACGACTTGATAGCATTTGGATGAAATAATTCTGACACCAATTACTCACACATGCCAAGCTTAGTCAGGGAGCTAAGATTTTCAATTTCACTGGGAAGATCTGTAAGTTGATTTCCAACTTTAAACACAAGGTGAAGGCAAAGGCAGTTGAGTGTAAAGCGAACGGAAGATGAAATGATAAAAATGAATCAAAAGCATTCAAATGAGGTAATGCATAGAACATAATGAAAACATCTCAGCACCAATCCTTTTTTTCGTGGCTCTCACATAGTTCTAATGAAGAAAGTGATGACAACATGCCGATCATAGTTGGGATATAATCAACATCCCAATGACCTATATCAATTCCAGACAGAGACCCTCTTTTTGTGCAATCGATATAACTCCAGAGACAATGTGGGGTTGAGTCTGGGTCTGTTTCAGTCGATGTGAAACCATCTGGAGCGAGACCATCAAAATTCATCATTATCAGTGCAAATCGGTCAACGAAAAATTCGTCACGGCAATTCTGTCCATTGCTTTCTTCACTCATCCAACTTAATGCTTGCAACGAATGATCTCTGTTGCTGTGGATGTTGTTTAATGTGTAATAATCAGAAAGTTTTTCGAATGAGCAAGTTTGAATTGTCGCAAAAGAGGCAGAGTTCTGAAATTCGCTATTCATCTCAATGATTCTTGTGTTTCTGTCGTCAATAGGTCCTTGGAAAATTGTAAAGTCGACAAACAAAATATTATCAATGGGCTCATCGGTTTTGTTCTGAACTTCAATGGTACACGTTGCTCCATCCTCAATAGAAACAGTTTCACTCCCATTGGTCATCATTGGATCAATATCTACTATCAAAACATGCTTGTTGCCACACTTAAGTGTCAAGGTAGGATTGATAATCTCAACATCAGCCGCCTGGTCCATGACCCATTCAATCTTCTCTTCATCCTCACCATATTTCTTTTTAATATAATCTGTGCTCACGCCACTCGTGATATTTCCAAGGTGAATGGTGATTGGAACCATATCTGGATCCTTACAATTTGGAAATCCATGTCCAGTAGTATTTCCCATTCCACCAAATGGCTCTGTGGCTGCACCAAGTCCACAATTGGAATGTGAACACGTAGCAGAGCAACAATCGCCGCCGTCAAATCGAAATCCAGTGTCTCCTGCTTTATTCAGGTTTTCGTTGTTGCAGATTCCATCGTTTAATGATGTGCAAACTAAGTCTTTCATATCTTCATTCACTTCAAGAAAAAACAGATTTTCGAGAGGAGTGCCAGCTGCAGAAAACCATCCTTCCGAAAAAGTGGTCGAGACATCAAATGCTTGTATCTTTGTAGAATACGCAAGGATTTCATTATCAGAATAAGCATCACAAGCATCACGTTCACCCTTGAATAGGATCCAACGGCGTTCATCTATGCAGTATCCAAATGTAAGAACACCATCTGATTCATAACTCTGCCGGTAGATATTCCTGTTGAATCCATTGATTGATTTGGTTGCATCTTCATCAAATTCGTAGCATCCACTGTAATCTCGTAGCTTTTCATCTTCAAATTCAACTCGAAACGTTTTCGTCATCCAAATGTCCTTATGGTTTTGGCAATATAGAACGGTACTTGCCATTGAAAGAAGGATAACACAAGATACTCCTATTGTATAGAGGAACCTTCTGTTTTTGTGTCGCTGAGACATACATTTTGGAAGATCCAGGTTTTGAATGCGCTTTGCTTCATCTTCAATTTTTGCTCCATATTTTCCTGACAGGGCCATCTCAAACGCAACATTGTCCAATTCACTGATGAAGTTCTGTGAAGAGGAAAGAGAGATAAAGATTGGAATCACAAAAGTAAGGACAAAAATGACGGTGATTTAAGTTTCTTGAGCTTTTGGCATGTTTTCAATTGACTTAGAACTCACAACTGCTGTAAAATTTAGGACAATATCAATCACATTATCTGAGGTGATAATTAGCAGGAGTGCTGTTAGCATTGCAATGAATCCTTGCAAACCACGAGCAAAACAAGAGAACACCATACATAAAGTTGCGCCATCCTTAAACGTTGGAAAAGTCTCAACTGCTACGACAACGTCCATCAAGCTGTAGCTTGCGAACCCTACATAGCACAAGACTGAAATTATTTGTGTTGCCTTGACATATGGACTTGCATTTGCAGCAATAGATGACGGGAAGATACCATCACTTGGATTATCTGAATCCAACTTGTTGCTCCAATTTCTATCAAGGGCACTGATCAACATTAGGATAAGGAACGACGCCTGGAACACAAAGACTGACATTCCATAGCCAAAGAAGACGGGATTGGAACAAGGACCGTGAAGCGACAAGAAAGAGTAGCAGTCATCTGGAAACTTCTCGCATTCTGCCTCTTCTTCTCTTTCAAATTCCAAAAATTCACCCTGTGCCTCCAAGTCTACAACCGCCGCATCGTTTTTCTTGCCTTCCTGGGTATCAGAGAATTTGTACTTGTCTTGCTCTACATTTTCTTCTGGTTGTGCTTTCAACTCGTTTCCAGAAGATGCCCCATTTGCCTCCGTCTCTTTGGCGCCACTTTCTATCTCGTACGTCTTGCTCTGCTTGGTTTTGTCGCATGCATCCTTAGAATGCTTTCCTTCCTTGACTTTTTGCGACAAAGGATCATCTTTGTTGCTGTCGGCAAGCATGTGTCTTTCTTCATCACCTTCCCCGTGGCGGCCTTGGAACTCTGCTCCATTGCTGTCTGCAGATTCGATTTCCTCTTCGTCATTCGATTCTTCCAGCGAAGAGACACCACTCGTGATCGACTGCTTGGGATCCTCGACCACTTCTTCCTTCTCATCGGGATCGTTTTCGATTTTGCGTGAGTTAATCTTCATCCTGGTGCCTATGCTGGTGTTCGTCTTGTATGCGTTTGATTCCGTTGCGGTCGTGGCGGCAGTGGCGGTGGATATTTGCACCATTGGCCACGAAAGAGGATCAAAGATTGCGCATCCGACGGACGATCGAAACAGGATAGAGCAACAAGCAACAAACGATTTAGATTGGAAAGAGAAGCATTTCTTTTGTGACATCGTGTTCGAACGCAACGCATGTTTGCTTGGTCGAAATCCCGTACGCAGCTTCTGTTCCAACTGCGCTGCTCTAGACTGAAACAATTTGGAAAACAACAAACCTACCTTAAACGACTAAATCTATCTGATTCAAAAGTTTGTTTGTTTCGAGTATCCAGTACCTCTACCGTATGTATTTCTGAGGAATCAATGGGGCAGACAGTGTCAGCGATGCAAAGAGCTTGGTCGTCGAGAGCTTGCGTTAGATCGGACAACGAAGTGCTTTAGCTGTGTTCCGATGTTTTTACACGTAATGTTGTATGTGTACTTTTACGAAGCTTAGGAACGTTCTAAACGAAACTAAAACCAAAATTTTACTTCCTGCTTCCTAGTAGTGTTTCTTTACCTTTTTGGTCGCCTTTGATTCTTTCGGACCAAAGATTCATTTATTTTTGGCCATATGGTATCTTTGAAGGGATATCATTGGCTTACCAATTTAGGCCTTCGCTACTTTCGGGATCATGGTTGTCATTTTGAACCATTTACGCACCAACTTCGGCAATGAGAAAGAGTATTTTGTAAGAGGTGTCTAATTCATTAAGTATTTTCCAAATAACCCCACTTTAACAGAACTTTCAGTTTCCTACGGTACGAGGAAAAGGTACCGGCCGGTTGGAAAAGATTCCTCCACTTTAGCGGAGTCGAAATTTAGATCACGTGTGACCCCCATACATAGTTATATGTGTAGAATCCTTATGTAAAGAGGAATTCAGCCATGATGTGTAAAAATCACGTGTGCAATAAGCAGTTAGTGTAGTGTTGATATAACAGGTGAATACACTGTAATATACACTAGGAACTTAGCTAAGATAAAATGTAAAAATCACGTGTGCAATAAGCAGTTAGTGTAGTGTTGATATAACAGGTGAATACACTGTAATATACACTAGGAACTTAGCTAAGATAAAGATCATCATGTTATGAGGGCATGATAGGGTGTTTTAAATGTTAAAGAAAAGGATAAGTGTGATCAAACAGCAGCTTGCTGTTTGCTGTATTTTCGAT